CAGGCCTTTAGGGCCTGTGACCCTCAAAGGTCGGGCCTTTAGGCCCTGGTGTGTCCCTCCGGCCCTAAATCGGGTCCGGTAGGACCCGTGTGACTCGAAGATGTAACACTAGCTCAGCGCTCTGCCCCTCACAATAGCGCGCAAGTGCACCAGCACTTCCACACTTCATGCGAATAAGCAATCTGCCTAATGAGGAGGCTGGCCAGTCCTTATATTGACTTGGACCGAGCTTCAACTCGTGCCAGCCTTGGCTTCTTGGGGCTTGACTTGGTTCCGGTACCACATCCCCACGGCCTGTTTGTTTCCGAATGTCAGGGCGTGGTACCTTTCCCGAATTTCCATTGGTGTGCTGCTGCTTGGGCTTTTGAGTCACAACTTTTCGATTGTGACACATGGCTTTTGACTGTGGCTTGTGACTCCTGCCTCTGGGACACGACCCTGGCCTGTGGAAGTGTCCTTTGCCCGTGGGATGTGACTCTCCAATATGACTTTTCATTATGAGACGTGGATTTTGCCCCTGGGATGTGACTGCTTGGCGGGTGCCTCTTGGACTTGACTGCTAAGGTATCCGACTGTGACTCTTCTGAAACTGACCGACTTGGCCTTTATTGGCCCAGGCCTTTGACCCTGAAATTCGAATTTGGGGTCTGAATTGTGGAAGGCTTTTCACTCTCACCGGCCTAATTTCGAGGTCCTCCAAGGAAGTTATCAACTTTACCTGTCAATTATGTTAATTCCTCTCTTATGTTACATGCTGCGCCTGCAACAGGCTGCATGGGCCATTTTCTGGCCCGTGTCGTTTTCAGCCTGAAAGCCTGAAAACAAGGGCCTACAGGCCCTGTGCCGTTTCAGCCTGAAAGCCTGAAAACAAGGGCCTACAGGCCCTGTGTCGTTTCAGCCTGAAAGCCTGAAAACAAGGGCCTACAGCCCCTGTGTCGTTTCAACCTAAAACAGGGACCTCCAGGCCCCGAGTCTTTTCAGCCAGGAACAGAGGGCCATTTTCAGGCCCTCATAAGACCGACCTGCCCGGAAACTTAGGCACCAGACCAGTGTTTTAGCACAGGCCATTTTGGGCCTATTTTCAAGACAACCTTTGTTTGCCTTCAACGCCAGGGTCTGGCACGTTTTGGCATTGGCAAGAGCAGTCTCCTGGACGGGCCAGCACTACAGGCTGCAGGTAGTTCATAGGGACTTCCCAAGCAGTTCACGTGCAGTTCAGGAGGCAGGAGGTAGTCTTCAGGATTCGGCAGCAGCACTCTGGAGGAGTGCTGCAGTAGTAGTAGCAGCGTTAGCAGTAGAATTCAGTGCTTGGCGCTAGTAGGAGCTAGAGTAGTACTGGAGAGAGAGAGATTGGGCCGAGGCCAGGGAGACTTACCTGCAGCGCCATAGCTCCAGCTTCATCTTCGAGGTACCTGCAGCACGGCGCCACCTTCAGAGGTTAGTACCTGGCACATGAGAGAGAGAGAGTTCTTCCTCTTCCTCTTCTCAGTCCACCATCTCCCTCTCACCCTCTCGCTACCTGACTTCACTGCATCAGCAGACTACGAGAGGGAAGGCTTAGTGACATTCGGATCCAGACTCGACATTGGGCTTCAGACATTTGACAAGGGATTATCTGGGACTTGTAACGAAGACTTGGTGTTGACGACATTCCCATCTCCCCCCTTCTTCTTCGTCTGATCCCCTCCTCTTCGTCTGTGTATGGTCTGGAT